GTATCTGTTACTTTTTGCTGGATTTGCTAGCAGACCATGGAAATTGAAAACCCTCAAAATATCAACCCAAGTAAGACTGGAGGTTCTTTGCAAATGTTATTAAAATACAAAATGGTTGTATAATAGTACACCTTTGCATTATTCTGGAAAAGAAATTTCTAGTTCCCTCTCTTTCAGTTATGCTACACCCTAATTACAACATGAAAGCAAGAGTTCAGAGGTCAATTGCAGAGTTGATAGCAAGGCTTCATATTTACCATATTTTCAGTAGAAACATTTTCCTGAGTAATAACAACTGGTTTTGGTTTATTTTTAAGATCAGGATTCCAGACCTAATCCCAGACTCACCACAATACGCTGTCTTTGATTGCATGGGATCAAAAACTCACCTTGAACATGTAAGCTAGTTTTGTGAACTGTAGAATTGTTATTGTCTGCTTTTTCCTTCTCTATGCATTTTCTTCTTAATGGTGCAAGATTTTTAAGTTTGTCCACCAAATGATATAAAATGACATAGCTAATAATAGTGTTACCAAAAATATCATTTCCTTTTTAAAAAAGGATATTTTTATAGAATTAAGTTTTTGAATTTTTGAATATTTGATTTTTGAATATTTGAATATTTTTGAATATGATGTTTTATTTGCAAAAATGTAAATGATCTTTTCACTAAACAGCAAACAAAATGATGTATCTCTGAAAAAATATGATAATGCTTTTTTAAGGATGTGCAGATGGTGCATTTAGAACATCTGCAGCAACAGAGGATCTGAGGAGAACAGGAATTCTTTGAGAGGATAAGTTACTACCTCCAATCTATTTTTTTTGCAATTTTTTCACAATGTTCTTTACTGAGAAGCATTCTCTGCCCTGGAGTGCTCAATATTTGGCCTCTTTTCAGAGCTTCTACTATACTCAAGAGAAAATCTTAATCATAAAATCTATTAAACATTTTAATCAGTCCACAGTCCATTTTTCAACATGTCATCATCTCAGTTTTTTTATTTGCATCAAACAATGTTTCTTTACACAAACAGAAAGCACCTTCATAAACAAGATAGTCATGTAATGGAGGAGGGTTAGAGAAGGCCAGCAAGGATGGTCAGAAGTATGGTACAGTTTGGTAGTTTTAAGATGAAGAATTGCTAAGTAATCATGCACTTTTCAATCCAGAAAGAAAATAGCCAGGGAATATGTCAGAGGTCTAAAAGGCAGTCCCTTTCAGGGAGAGGACAGCATGGATTGACAGCTCACTGCCTTTTCAAGAAGTAAAGTGTGACAAATGAAGCTAGCAGGAAGTGGGTTCAAGCCGGGCAGAAGATGCGGTTGCACTGTGGATCCTCTTGCCATAGGATGTTTTCTGTGACAGATGCTTACACAGGTACAAGCAGTCACTGAACAAAGCCATGGAAAAGAAATCAGTTCAAGATTGCTAACTGCTTAGAAATTGCATCTGGTTTAGAAAACCTGAAAATGCCTGGAAGTTGGAGGAGTACATGTGGAAAGCATCATACAACCTTGTCTTGTTTCTGTACTCTCCCCTAGACATCCTTTTTTGTCCACTGATACGATTACAGAGGTAGATGAATCCCTGGTCTGACCCTATGGGGCTACTCTTCTGTTCAGATATTTTGGTCCCCTTGATGGCAGAAATAGTTACATGTGCAAATGTGCACGTAAAAATTTAATGAAATTTATGAAGCAACTTTTAATGATCTTCCGTACCATTACATATCCTTCCATGTGTCAAGAAGAAATTGGATTATAGTGATTATATAGTAGGTGCTGCGCTTGACGATCATCAAGGAGATAAGGAGCACTTTACAAAAAATGGTCTCTGCCTAGACTATATGCCATCTAGTCTAGATTACCATCTTCACAAAATTAAGATATGTTAAATACATCATTTTCAACAACCTCACAAAAATCTGGCTTTCATTCTCCAGTTCAGAGGTGCTCAGGCTATTAAACTACCTGGGGAATGATGTCCACCTTAAAATGGAGGTATTTTTACCCATTTCACTTAAAGTCCAGTAATCCAAGACAGACAATGAACTGTAAAAAGTACTTCTTAAAACCAGTATTTCAGACATATTTTAATATTTATATCGTATTTCTATGTAATCCTTTTTTTTTTTTTCCCTAATTCTGTTCATGCAGTCCTGGAAGGACTTATGTACTTCACCCGCTGTGAGTGAGGGCTCTGTCACTCCTTGTATTATGGGTAATGCAGATGGTGAGAACTGTAGCTGCAGGTGGACTCCAATTCCTCGAAAGGCCAATGTGGACCCTGACAGGGACACTATTTATTCCATCTCACACAGGGATCTTTTGTTGGTCAGCTTCTTGTCTTGGTTGTCTGGCCAAGATTTTGATTTCCAAATAGATTTTACAACAGCCCTGAAATGGAAAAAAGAATTACACAAAAACATACCTTTAAGTAGGTTTACATAAATTGCTCTGAATCATTCCCTTCCCATCCACAATCACTGTAACTGCTTTGTAAAGTACTTCTTTCCAATCTCCAGAAGCTTGTTCCTGTTTTCTCTACTGGCAACACAAATATTAAACTACAGAGAAACTTAAATAGTTCACCTCAGTTCATGTTTGTCATCAGTTTTGATGGTGATATTTTGATCAAATAAAGCATAAATCACATTGCATGTTGTCCACCTACCAGTGAAGAATCATCAAGATCATGACAAAGATCACACCAACAGTCACAACGATTTCAGTTATCAGGCAAAAGACCAGAATGGCATCTATCATTGTTCTCCTTGATTGCCCTGTTCCTCTTCTCCTTGATTTTTTTGTTTGCATTTCTGAAGAAAAGAAATACACGGTCATTATTATGTTCAAATTTTCAAATTATTCAGCATTTAACCCAATGGACAGGACTGAAAAGGAGCAAGGCTTCATTATTTACTATCTGACATCTTTCACAACCTTCATGCCTTTACTCTATCAGCAAAAGTTAGAACAGTAACATACCTTCTTTACAAAAGCATGTCTAACAAAGGAAGATGCAAAGAAATGGAGATCAAGGCACGTGGAGTGGGATACATGTCACTTAACAGTCGTGAAACACAAAGAACTGCAATTCCTAAAGACAAGGAAAAAATTAGAGGGAAAAGTATCTGTTTGGTACATGTTAAGAATGACTAATATAACAATACTTTTGCTTTAAGAAAGGCTTTAATGTAAGATTTCAAGACACATCCACATAAGATACGTGAACGATAAAGACAGAAGAAATACCACAGGCTGTCTGCCGCTCGAGGCAGGCTGACCTCTTTGTTCTGTGCCTGGTACCAGGTGCTCTGTCACCCAGGGCTGAAGCAGCAAGGTACCACCGTGCTACAGAAGAATTCTAACAATGGAAATTGATGCAATAATAATCATAATAATGAAGCCAAAAGAGAGTATGTTAACAAAAGACCGGATTCAAGGACTTAAGTGCTGCTTTTCAGTTCTGTGTCTCTATCTAGGTCTGCAAAGCCTTTATTTAAAACAAATAACCACTGAGCATGGAAAGGATTTGTTCTGCATGGCCCAGAAACACATATCGAGGAGCAGCTGTATGAAGCTGAGGAGTGAAAAATGTAGCAAGGATATCAAGTAAAAATGCATTTTGTAATGCTGCAGCCTGTTCAACCATTCACCTAAGGAAATTGAGGGCCCTACCATTACTGAGGCTGTTTCTCTAAGACCAGACGTACCAGTTAGGAGATGACTCTAACAAACAACCCAGGAAGAGTGGAAAATACTGAGGATGGTCAACCAACTTTCTCCATCTTTTTTTTTTTTATATATTGGATGAAGAAATGCCTGGAAACCAAAACCAGGCACCTTCTTCTGAAATTTAATTGACCTTATTTGTTCAGCCACCTGCAACCAAATCAATGAACCATCCGGCATCTTCCCACATCCCTCCAGGTTTGACAATTTTACACAAGCCAACCCTAATTTCTCTTTCATTTTCCCTCCTGTAGTTTCTAAAACTATAAGGTGCTACCTCACTGCTGACTGGTGTGCAAAATTCATGCTCATACTGGTAGGAATTTTGTGTAGCAGAATGACTGCAGGAAAACCATTTCTATTTCTATTTCATTTCTACTTCTATATAAGGTCCTGTGCCACTGTCCTCACTATAGTATCTAAGCAACTCTTCCATCGCATCATTTGAGTTTCATTCTCCTGCATCACAGAATTTTCGTTCTGATATTCTTAAACCACAGCTCATCTATAGGATTCTCCTGATCTTTCTGCAAGATACAGGATAGGTAAGAATGGTGAACTGGCTGAGAATATCATACATAGTAAGTCTGAATATCAGGGTTTTCATACAATGTAGAGCTACCTACTTTTAGACTAATCCACTTCACTGACTGGACTGTGTCTTTTTAGAATTACATGCAGTTGCAGGGAATGGAGGTTAATGAAAATTATCTTTGATTTTGTAATTTCATTAGTGTAATACATTTTCCCCTTGGCAAGATGTGAATTTAGAACTCTAAGAACTCTAAGTATACCTCTGTTTACAGGCTGTAACAGGAGCCTGCTGAAGAGAAAAGCAAGTTTTATGTTATCCACAGCTAATCTACTCAAGTCTTCTTCCTAGGCAAGAAATTATTCCAATAGCCAAAAACCAGAACTGCCCAAGAGACAACTTGATGGTTGGGGGATGCCTTCCAAGTAAACACGCGTGTTTAAAATGCAAGCAGGAAGCAGACGGAAAAGCAGCTTCCCAATAAGCTGGTTCACAATGAGCAAAGACCAATTCACATCAGGTGCACTTTTAAGCCCGTGACTACACTCCTGAAGTCCAGGCAACACTCCCAATTAGTGAGAATTTTGCCACAGCCAGAATATGCCTTAAAAACATCTTCAGCTTACAGTTAATGTTACAAAGATGTATTTACCAACTTTTAAAAAAAAATCTACTTAGCTTAGTAAAAGTAAGAAGACAATTCTTTTTTGAAACATGCAAAGTCTAGTTCAATGACTTTCAACTTGAAGTCTACAGCCCACTGCAGGTCTGTGGACTACTTCACTATAAAGAATGACTAAAAAAAGCACTATCATATATATTCCACAATTACATTGTAAAAGAATCCCTAAAATAGTGCAGACTCCACTAGAAATTTTCTACGGTTCTACAAACGACAGAGAAATTGATAACATATCTGACAGTTTCAAGCACATTGCCTCCAACCCTACCAAAAGTTTGGCATTCTCACTTCACCTGTTGATTATTTATATTCATATTTACTAAAAAAGGAATGCACTTAAATGAAATGCAAGGGTGGGATACTGCAGTTGGATGTAGGCACTGTTGGATCTACACTATGAAGATCCATTTATTTGTGCAAGTCTGAACAAGACAGGAAGGAAGGAAGAGAAGGAATGCTCAGATTTAGTATTAAGCTTCCACCAGGGCTTGCTGATTTGAGGCCAGCCCTGTGGCACAAACCCCAGAGTGTGCTGGCCAGGGCTCATGGAAGCCTTTTCGACCGCTCAAATGGTCCAAGCACTGCACACTCCCTCTACCCCAATCCCTGTCTGCTATGCCAATGAGGGGACAACAGGCTGGATTAAAGGAAACAGAAGTGCCATCTGTGTGGCCACTACCAGCTGCTAAGAAGCCTGACAGCTTTTTTACCTTCTTTGTGCCATCAGAACAATAGGACAGTTACTGCCTTCTTATGTGGGCCAAAAGAGATACATCGCATACCTCCCTCATACCAAGCACCAGAGCAGCATAGCAGCACATACTCTGCTGTGGTGTGGCCCAGCAACTATATTTGCATTGTATACTACCATTTAACAAAGCTGCCTTGATTGTTATGCAGTGCAGTGCACTTCTGGACCGCCCTCTGCCTTCATGGAACCCTCTCCTCTTTAAATTGCTTAAATCCAAATACATTCAGAAGCATCTGTTGCCACTACTAGCGTTTCCCTCCAGAAAATATTGGCAATACAAATCCTGACTCTGCATTCTATTCTATAGGACAGGAGGAAACGGTCTCAAGTTGCGCCAGGGGAGGTTCAGGCTCGACATTAGAAAGAACTTCTTCACTGTTAGAGTTGTTAGGCATTGGAACGGGCTCCCCAGGGAGGTGGTGGAGTCACCATCGCTGGAGGTGTTCAAAAAACGTTTAGATGTGGCACTTCAAGACATGGTTTAGTGGTCATGGTGGCATCAGGTATACGGTTGGACTTGATAATCTTTGAGGTCTCTTCCAACCATAATGATTCTATGATTCTATGATTCTATGATTCTATGATTCTATGATTCTATTCAGTCATTTCTTCAATAAGAAACAGATTCATAATAATGTAAAACATAAACATCAAGAAAGTGGAACACCTGCTTTTTGAGCACCATTTCTGCCCAAAGGAAACCCACTACTTTTGCCAGCAGCACTGTTCCTCTTCATCCTCCTCTTCCCCTGGGTTTTTTATTGAGCTGGAGTTCCTCCTAGACCATGATGTTGACTGCACAGCAGTGCTCCATCTACAAGCAGACGCTCAATCAATTGTTTATACAGTCCAGAAGCCAACAGGAGTTCTTTCCACCAGTTTTCAGATCCAGAAAGTATGTATCAGTTTGGCAGAGAGGAACAAGATTTTGCCCCTGCAGATTGTTTTTTTCTCCCTTAATATAATGGTGATCCACAGCTTTTTTTGTTTCCCCTTCTAGATTGTTTATAAGCCTTTTTCTATGTATTAAAAATGGATGGATATATGCTAATGGAAGAGAAGGATTACATATACACAGAGGAGATCCAGGCTGTTAATCTTGGGTACTGGGATTCCCCATTTCATTTCTGTGCAAATGCAAGGACAACATGGCCATGCTGATTACATGTTTGTACAGCAGCTGGTTACAGAGATGTGACTCTTCTCTCTTGAGGAAGCTCAAGCACTGAAGTCATCAGCAGAAGAGAGATGGGGACTAGAATGGCCTCTGAGACACAGAAACGCTATTGCCTCCGTCTTCTCCACAGAAGTGCCACTAGACATACACCTCACCTCGCTCTCTCTCTCATCAGAAGCATGGGGCTTGGAGCACAGCTGGGATCTCAGTAGGCTGACACCATTCACGTAGCATCCTAATGAGGATCATTCTCTACTTTTGCATTCCTCCCTTGCAGAGTCCTCCCTCCTCACAGAACTATTATTAGTAAATATGAATAAACCGCTTTCCAGCTCCAAAGTCTTCACAAAACACCGAACAACACAACAGGCGGGAGTGTGAAACAACACCCTTCAGTGTTCCAGGGTAGTGATTTAGTAAGAAGGACACACAGAAATGTCAGTTATTAAAGACAAGATTTTCCTTGCAAAGATCTCAATAATTTTTGATGAAGATAAAATACTTTTTTTTTTCCCTGTGATGTTTCTCTTGCTATAAACAACAAAGAGAACCCATAGGTCTGAACAGTTCTGAAAACAAAAGGAAGAGCCAAATTACTGAAGAGCACTCACTTATGCAAAAGGTCATTATAACTGTTCATCAAAAGGTTACTGAGAAGTGCAGTGATTACTGGTAAAGGACACATGGAAGTTCTCTGTGCATAGATTTAAAATTAACTCATACAAAGTTTTGCCACATGGCAAATACACACAAATTCCTGTGAGGTTTCACCTGCCCTTTTGCAACATGTCTTCCCTTCCTCCCACCTCACACCCCCCAAAATCTGAAGCAGAAAGTGTCACACTACGTGTTTTCAAGTGGTGGCTTTGGGGCCAGGCTTGCAGACAGTATTGCTGAATCTGGCCACTGCTGTTCAGGCAGGTAAAACATCAGAGTGCTGGAAAGAGGAGGAAGGATGAGACAAAAGCAAACACATTTGCTCCTTATCAGCTGCATTGATAATTTTTAGCTCTGCTGACAACTTCAAGGCTTTCTCTCCAGGAAAGTGCCAAGAAGAAAGGCCATCCATGGAACAAACACATTTCCACTTCCCCTGCCCCATCCTGTAGCTCTAGCATGACGAAATGTATCTCTGTGGAATAGTGAAAGGAGTGATCTAGGTCATGAGAAAGACAAAATACACAACCTTAAAGCTTATTGACTTGAGTGAGGCAGAGAGATGGTCAGAATCGCCTCAGCTGGCTTAAAAAAAAAAAAAAGTAATTTAGGAGGTAATAGAGAGGACCTGCTCCTTTCCTCACTAAACCTGATTTGTCCTTTCACCTGGTTCAAATACACCTCCCAAAACCTATACGAGCCCCTCTCCCCACATTTCAGCTTGGAGACCAGATAGATAAATGGCAAAGAAAAAGATGTTTGCTCAACAGAAAGACAGATTTTCAGGAGTAGGTAGAGAAACCATCTTGCTTGACTTGTCTCAAATTCCCCAACCCTCATCGCAAAAAGTCTTTTAATGAGGAACTAGGAAAGGCAGCATTGTACCATGGGCAGAAACGTTACCCCTTTCCAGAGTCTGAACAACACAGCAAGCCATGCTCCCAGAGCACAGAGCAGCTCTGCGAAATACAAGGCAGCAGCTAAGAAAATCTACATCCAAACACAAGGAGTCTTGCCGTATCCACTGACGCTGTCAGAAGGATCTTTCTCATTTCCTCCTGATCCTGTTGGAAAAGTAAATGCAGTCTTCTGATCTGGCTACACTTCCGACCATCCACAGAGAGCAAAACTACATCTGTATGATGAAAGTACTGGTACATTCTCAACCAAAACTTCAGCTGATAACTTCTTCTATGTACCTAATTAACAGTTAATAATTTCTAAGGTCCAAACAATGTCACTTCTGGGGAAGCAATGCCCAGAAGCTGCTTTGGGCATCTACACACCTCCATACAAAGCCAGAGGACACTGATCTGGCACTAAGCAGAACAACCCATTCTTTTCAAGCTACTTAATAAACCTTCGAGCTTGTCTTCCTCAAATTTCTGTATCGTCATAAATATTTTTTGAATTAATAAATCTCAATCCTTGTAAGAAGTTCTCAGTGGACAGGTTCTCTGTTGGGCGGTTTTCATCTGACCACTTTTCACCAAGACTACTCAGTCATAGCTTAAACACAAATGTGTCAGTCCTCCTATTGATGACTCACCAACTCAAGTCAATGGGACCACTTGCATGCTCAAACCTAAAACAGATAATGTGCTCTGCTAATTCAGGTCTCAAAACGGAAGCTTCCTCTGTACAAAAAGGAATGTAGAGAACGAATAGTGGGAGAAGGGAAAACAAAAATCTTTGGGTGTTTTGTGACTGCCAGATGGATTTAGAAAATGAATTAAAAAATTCTATATTACTGTATAATGGCAGAAAGGACCTCAATAGAGATACAGGAAACAGCCTATCTTACTGAAGAGAGAGGAAAAAAAGCAGGATTCCCAGGCCAGACAGTTTTACCCAGGTAAACAACATGGAGAGGGGGAAACATGGGGAGGGGTATCTCCAAGGATTTCTTTCTTTGTAGTCTGCCATAATTTTGCATAAGACCTGAATCTATCAGGGAAAACTTTAAATTTGGATGAGCAAGGCACTTTCACACTTTCTCTGATTAGGAAAGAGAGAGTTTCCGTGCGGCTGTTCCCATGGTTTGAGAAAATCAGCACACTGCTACCATTCCTGATGAAGTCAGCAAAAATCATTAGCAGAGGAGGTGAGAAAGATAGCACTGGGAAACTCTTTTATGATGTATTCTTTTTAATGTTAAACTTTGCTAAATCCATTGTATATAAGCGAATTCCAGATGGGCACTAAAAGAAAAGCTGAAAAGGTTGTTTTCCTGCTTCTATATTGAAGTGGAAAGGAGACTTAACTGCAGAACCCACGCTGCTGGTGCTATGTGGCTTAGTGAAGCAAAAAGAAGTCTATATTAACCAAACTGGGTGCAGTAAAAATAAGCAGGTAATAGAAAAATCTCCTTATTTTAGCCTGGATTTTTACAAAGGATAAAGAAAATACTCCTTCCTACCACAAGCAACCTCTTCATTCCCATTCTGTCATTTCCTTTTATATGTCTCTTTCATCGGCCTGCATTTCATGACAGTCATTACCACAGCGCACAAGCTCCTGCCTATATACTACTGGTGACATGCAATCTTACAAAGATTGAGTACTACATAAAAAATACAAGGCCATATCACTAGAAGACTGTAAGTGTCTCTATGACCTTACCAGTTGTTGCATAGACTGTGTATTTTACAGACACAAATATATTTCCATTTTCTTGCGTTTCACACTGGAAAGTAACTGAATGGGTATCTCTGCAAACTTCCATCATAGCTGAATCATTGGGAAGAATGTGTGCTGTCTAGCCATACGTAAAAGAGAGAAAAAAAAAAAAGGTTGTATTTTTTCAAATAGATTTGCAAAGACGAGTTGCATTGTGTCAGACACACAGAAAAGTACTTATTCTATGCCAACAGCGTTCAACCTGTCAGGACATCTTGGCCCCTGTGAAAATTCCTCCCATCTCTTCAGCACCTCCTACTTGAACAACTGGGAAGGGCAAGGTGGTTGCAACTTGCTGACATGTATGCACTCACCAGCCACTATGCCCCATTTTTCTGAAATAACAGTAAACATTACTTTCTAAAATTATTGTTTCCTGCACATAAACAGGAAATAGAAGCTGCATAAAGGAGCAAAGCCTTGTGAGTCTTTGTATTATCAACTCACCAGTGAGAGATCAGGGCTTATCTGCATTACGACAGCAAAGGAAATAAACTGCCCAGAAGTCTGTACAATTCAGATGGAGCATGTAGTAAGTACATTCAGCATGTAATTTTTCTGCACAAAGTGGGGTTCAATTACTCACCTTGTTTGGAATTAACATCTTCCAAATGTATTTAAATCAATTTTCAGGAGGTATACAAATACAAGGTATCTTCACGCAGTCAAGGCCCGCAGAAATTGCTATCCCCCCTATAGGAGGAATTTTTAATAGGTACATCATCAACTATATGAAACATCTCTGTATCGATCATAAAGTTCGTAATTCTTCAAACCACAGAATGCTACCTGGAAATTATCCTTTCCCTTAAAATTACTTAAAATACTTTTTGCTTGGTCTAATGTCTAGAATGAAGCACATAGCAGGGTATTTTGCAGAGACTTGAAATCAAGTGCACATCAGTACAGAAATGAGATCTGACACATTATTGAATTAATTAACAGGGTAATTGGAGGGTGGAATATAATCACTTCACTAACAGAAAATAAAGATGTTTCCTTTGAATCAACTTATTTGCTCTAGATTGCTGTATCACAGTTTTCCACTTACATCTGCAGTCTACTGGCCCCCGGCATTCCCCCACACGGACAATACATTTTGCTTCAGTCCCAGGGCATCCACTGGTTAACAGAACTTCTCAAATGCCAATCCCTTTGAGGGGAGAAAAAAAAATCTTTCACTCTGCATTTCTTAATTTCCTTCATATTTTGTTTTTGCTTTCTTTTTCTTTATCCAGGATGTTAATATGATGTATCTACCAAATACCAGGCAAAACAGATCTTCTTGGAATGCCTGCTAAAGCTATCCCATGTTGGTATCTAAGATTTCAAGACAACATCTACTTCTGTCAGACTCCGCACCCTAGGGAGCCAGATTCTTAGAATCATCATATGTCACAAAAAGAACTTAAAATGAATCCAAAACTTTTCTTACAGAGAAAGAATTTGAAAAGAAACTAATATATGTTCTGCAAAACAGTTAATTCACTTTACACAGCAAAGCATTCAGGCTCCTGGCCTTTAAATACTCAAATCAGATGGCACAGGGAATAGTGTACAGACTGCCAACTCAAGTCTGCCTCCAGTCTTGTGACTGTCTGAGTGTCTTCAACTCCCACCAAGGTCAACAGAAACTGAAGGCACTAAAAACCTCCCGGCACTGAGACTGGGGAGTTTGAAGTTACCTAACAATGACCAACAGTGAGTGATACAGGAATACCACCAACAGCCTCCAAAATTAAGCCTCTCAGAGCACGGAGGCTGGTGGTCAGTAACATAGGGCTTCTCATGAGAAATAGGTGAAATCAAGTGTTGACCATCAGGACTCCACCTGCAACATGGAGGGTCCTACTGAAGACAAAGAACAAGAAGTAACCTATCACAAATGTGTAGAGTTAAGGAAAATTCCTAAACAATGTTCAAGGAAGCAAAAAAATGTTCACTCTCACTATCAGGATTTCAATGGGAACATCTTCATTTTAACAATTACGAACAAATTCAAAACAAGTGCTATAATTGTTTTTGCCAAACACTGTGTACACAGTTCATTGGAATGACATAGCTTGTGGGGGAGGCAAGAATAATATGTTTAGGCTTAGTAAACACTGAAGGTTTTGCCATTTTTCCAGAAGCATTTTGTTTACTAATAGGCATGGAAAGAGGAGAGTCAAATGCCCCTTGCAGTAGAGTAATAAATAAGAAATTGGTTTGAATATTGCATTTATGATGCATCTGCCTTCCTTAAATGTGTATTATATAAACGAATGGATTTCAGAATGTTTCAGAGATGTCATGTAACTCGTGAAACAGAACTTCAAGTGACAGAGGGAGACAACACCACTTACTGAAAATGACACAAAACAAGGATCGTTCTCCGCTCCAGAGAATGTCTCATCTCAAGGATGCAGAGACAGAGGTGTAAATGGCAGTGAACTGACACTTTTATTAAAGGCATTCCTCTTTCTTCAGTGGCATGTAGATTTTTAGCTAACAAAAAAGACAGGAAACCTATGAAAAGATAAAAGGCTGGCTTGATAAAGCCTGGGTGCTGGGCTTACTGTAGTCACATTCATCAGGAAAAATCTCACCATGTCTTATCTATGGGAATACTAAAATTTTGGAAATATATCATACTGAAAGGGTTGATGAAAAAAGCTCTTTGAATTAGATCTGTAAGGTCTTTTGGTACTCCTCTGCCTCTTCCTTTCGGACAGCTTTTTCTTTCATTCCCACATTTCCTTTCCCCACCTCTTCTTAGTAGCTGCCAATGCCAACGAAATTAATCTACTGAGAGGCTCTAAGAAATTAAGTCCTAACTTCAACAAATCATACAAGTCAACCTAACAGAAAACTGGCCATAATGCAGTAAAATAAATTACCTAAATAAAATTCACCCTAGAGAAATGTAAATTAATAGAATGGGAGAGGGGTGGTGAAGAGGGATGACCCACAAAGAACTGAATACTTAGCAATACAAAAAAGAGCAGTTATGAGAGAAATTTAGAGGTAAGAGTGGCCAAAACAATTACACTACAAACTAAGGCAAAATTAAGGCAGATATGACACAATATCATTAACATATGCTTTAATTATGCTTTAATGCCTCTGTAAACCTGGACTATGACTAGAGGAGCAATGGATCTGAGCCACAGCATTACTAGGAAAAAATGAAGAAAATTGAGCCATTTCAGAAAGCAAGAAATATAAACAGCTAGATAGATGAAACTAGGGAATAAGAAGGACTATGAAGGAGACAAAGAGCTTACCGCTTTACTGGAAGAACCAAGAAGCTACCTTTCAGTCTTTCAACAGACAAACATAGAATCATAGAATGATTTGGGTTGGAAGGGACCTTAAAGATCATCTCATTCCAACCTCCCTGCCAAGGGACACCTTCCACCAGACCAGGTTGCTCAAAGCCCCATCCAACTTGGCCTTGAACACTTCCAGGGATGGGGCATCCACAGCTTCTCTGGGCAAACTGTGCCAGTGCCTCACCACCCTCATGGTGAAGAATTTCTAATCTAAACCTTCCCTTTTCCAGTTTAAAGCCATTGCCCCTTGTCCTGTCACTCCATGACCTTGTAAAAAGTCCCTGCCCAGTTTTCTTGTAGTCTCCTTTTAGGTACTGGAAGGCTGCTCTAAGGTCTCCCTGGAGCCTTCTCTTCTCCAGGTTGAACAACCCCAGCACCCTCAGTCTGTCCTCACAGGAGAGGTGCTC